TATTACTAAACCTAAGTTACTCAATTTCTAGGATGTACTTGTGTTTCAACATTCCCTGTTTTGATATAAATCTTTCTAATTTTTAACTGTGTACTCAACATTGTTGCCATGAACTGAATGTTTGTGTCCCTTTAACCCCCACCCCTCCCCCCCACCAAAATTCATCTGTTGAAACCTGGTTCCCACTGTAGCAGTATTTGGAGGTGGGGTTTTAAGATGTGAATAGGTCATGAGCGTGGAGCCTTCTTGAATGGGATCATTTGCTTAATAAAAGAGGCTCTGGAGAGCTCCCTCAGGGATTCTGTCAAGTGAAGACGCAGTGAAAAGACAACTGTCTATGAACTAGGAAGTAGGCCCTCAGCAAATACTTAAACTGTTGGAGGCTTGATCTTGAACTTCCCAGCCTCCAGAACTGGGGGGCAACAAACTTCTGTGGTTTATAAGCCACCCAGTCTATGGCATTTTGTTATAGCAGCCTGATTGGACTATGGCATCTGCTTCAGAGACATTCAAGTTATTGAAAGAAAATGCATTTATTTGCTGAATTTTATTTCCACCTTGAAAAATAAATGTTTTCTCTCTTGCTCTTTCTCTTTATAATTTCATTCAGGACCACAACAAATACCTAGTCTAAGTGGAAATGTAAAAATTTAATTCGTTTTTGTGCTATACTAATTTTTATTACTTATTGACAATTTTCTATACCAATTGTTTTTAATAATTTATTTTCAAGGCTGAAATATATGATTTCCCATTTCCACAAATAATCATCACAACTCGATGCTTTTAAATGTAGCTAGTCTGATTGAGATAAGATGAAGACTCATTGTATTGGATTTCATTACCCTGAATGGTGATTTTTACGAATCTTTTCACATATTATTTTATAAATAAAATTTCTTTACTGCCATATCCTGAGAAAAGTGCTACACAAATATTAAATCAGTTCATTATCATTAGGAACTTATGAAGCAGGTACTATTATTTAATCTGCTAATTTCTGAAGCCCAGAGGCACATTAAAATCTTAGTGTTTCTAGAATTGTATATTTTTACTTGCATTTCTTTAAGTATTTCCTTTATAGGTTTAATAGTGCATTGTTAGTGTATATATATTTTGCACTTAAATTTAGAAAGTTTTGGTATAAGTTTCTTTTTTAAAAAAATTTACTTATTTATTTTTTTAAATTTATAAATCATGTTTATTTTATTACAGTTGTCTCAATTTTTGCCCCTTTACCCCCCTCCACCAATCCCACCCTGCCCCCCAATCCCACAGTCAATTCCCACTCTGTTATTCATGTCCATGGGTCATTCACACATGTTCTTTGTCTAGTCCCTTCCCCTTTTTTCCACCATTGTCTTCTTTCCCCATCCCTTCTGGTCACTTTCATTCTGCTCCATGTTTCCATGCCTGTGGTTTAATTTCTTCGTTAGTTTATTTTGTTGGATAGAGTCCACTTATAGGTGCGATCACATGATATTTGTCTTTCATCAACTGGCTTATTTCACTTAGCTTAATATTCTCCAATTCCATCCATGTTGTCGCAAAAAGTAGGAGTTCCATCTCTCTCTCTCTTTTTTTCTTTCATTCTTAAATGCAGATTGATTTTATTTATTTTTTTAATGTCAAAGTTAATTATAAAATATTAAAAAATTTAAAACCATTATAAAGTCTCAGCAATTAAACCAACATGACACCAGCACAGAAATAATCAAGGAGATCAATGAAATATAATGAGCAATACAGAGACAAATGTATATATCTGTCTAACAATGTAATATATGATTAAGTTGATATTTCAAATCAATGGGTAAGATAAGGCTTATTCAACAAATAAGGCACATGGACCACTATAACTTGAAATAAAACAAATATAGAGCCCTATTTCACACATTGTACAAAAAATATTCAGGTGAGTTAAAAATCAGTATGTAAAATCTAAGGAGTTTTAGGAGAAAATACTAAATAATATTTTTCTTACCCTGAAGTAAATGATATTCAAACCCAGAAGCTATAAAATAAAGTATTGACAATATGACTATATTAAACCAAGACTATACAGTAATATACATATGAAAAAAGTTAAAAGACAAGTAATAGAATAGAAAAGTATTTGCAACATAACTGAAAAAAGGTTACTAGGTTTTTTTAGGGAAAATATTCTACAAACATTTAATCAAAAAATGGATAAAGAATACCAAAGTCATTTAAAACTTTTAAAAAATAATAGAAATAGACAAGAAATATACAAAAACATGTTTAGTTTCAACAAATAATAAAGGAATAATTAAAATAACACATCATTGTCACAATCAGATTAATGTGTATTAAAAAAATATTGGTAATATCAGGTATTGGCAACTTTGAAAGGAACTGGGTATTCATAGACTCTTTTTCTTCATTTTTTTAAAGCAGTCTCTTTAGCATATTTTGTAGTGCTGGTTTGGTGGAGGTATATTCTTTTAGCCGTCGTTTGTCTGGGAAACTCCTTATTTCGCCTTCCATTTTAATTGAGAGCCTTCCTGGGTAGAGCAGTCTTGGTTGCAGGCCTTTGCTTTTCATGACTTGGAATATTTCTTGTCATTCCCTTCTGGCTTGCAGTGTTTCTGTTGAGAAGTCAGCTTCTAGCTGTATTGGGGCTCCCTTATATGTTACTACCTCTTTCTCCCTTGCTGCCTTTAGGATTCTCTGTTTGTCTTTGATATTTGTCATTTTAATTAAGATGTGTCTTGGACTGGGCCTCATTGGGTTCCTCTTGAATGGGATCCTCTGTGCTTCCTGGACTTGTGTGACTTTTTCTCTCCTCCAATTAGGGAAGTTTTCCATCATCACTTTTTCAAACAGGTTCTTATCCCTTGCTCCTCCTCTTCTCCTTCTGATATCCCTATTATATGGATATTATTACATTTCAGGTTGTCCTGCATTTTCCTAAATGCCTCTTCATTCTTTTTGAGTCTTTTTTCATTTTCTTGCTCTTTCTGGGAGCTTTTTTCTGCCTTGTCCTCCAGCTCACTGATTCAGTCCTTAGCTTCATCTAGCCTGCTTTTGATTCCTTCTACTGTGTTATTCAATTCAAAAATTATATTCTTCATTTCCTCTTGTCTCTTATTGATAGTTTCTATGTCCTTTTTCATGCTGATATAGGTTGCTGTAAGTTCCTTGTAGCTTCCCTGTAGTTGTTTTTAATTCTCTCTGAGCTCACTGAGCTCATTGAGCTTCCTTAGAATTGTTGTTTGGAACTCAATATCTGAGTTTGCTTGTCTCTATTTCATTTAGTTCTTTTTCTGGAGATTCCTCCTTTCCCTTTGAGCGGGGGGTATTTCTTTGTCTTTCCATTATTTGTGAGACTCTTCTCTTTTGCTTCTGCTTCTTAAGTTGGTCTGTCTTGATTTCCTGACTTTGTGGTGTGAACTTCTATGGTAGGAGACCACTGTTCTTACTTTCTGGATCTGCCTCTGACAAAGTCAGATGTCATCCCTGTCTGACCTTAGGCAGTCTGTTCGAGACTTCCAGGAATCTACTGTCTGTGGCTGTCTCCTTCAGCTGTTAATCCAGTCATTCTGCACTCAGCAGGCCACCTTAGATAGCTCAGGGCAAGGCGGGTCCCTCCTGGGGGTGGGGTTATTGGGCCCTCTCTTGCTGCAGGCATATGGGGGAGGAGTCTGCACTGGGATCCCGCCAGCTACTCTCTCAGTTCTCTCCCCAAAGCCTCCATCCCCAGTCTCTCCTCAAGTGTCTCCAGATATCTCTGTTCCCCCTTTAGTCTGGGATCTACTGTCTGTGGCTGCCATTCTGTACTCAGCAGGTGGCTTAGATAGCACAGGACGGGGTGGAATCCCACTTGGAGCGGGGCTCTTGTGTCCTCTGATGTTGGTGACGCTCAGGGGGAGTGGTCTCTGCTTGAGCAAGATGGCTGCTGCCGCATGGGGGATGAATCAGCACTGAGATCCCACCAGCTACTCTCTCCGTTCTCTCCCCAAAGCCTCCTTCCCCAGTCACTCCTCAGGTGTACCTAGTCCACTCTGCCCCCATCTTTGCCAGAGACCAGGGTAAGTGGCTGTAAATAAAAATTTTGCGTTGGCCCTTTAAAGGGCTTTTTGCGTCTCCAGCCACCTATCTCTGGCAGAGAGCAACTCTGCCGCTTTTTGCAGCTGGCTGTTTTCTGTGTACTTTTTGGGCTTTGGTGCTGTAGGCTGGAGATCCCCGCTTATGGTTTAGACCCCACTCTTCTCAGGGGGATCCAATTGGCCGTTTCAATATCCTTCTGGTGCCGCCCCGCCTGCCTTCTCAAGTCTGTACTACACTTCTTACCAGGTAGGTTGTGATAAAGCTGATTCTTCTGTCTCTGAGGTTACAGAGCTCCTCTCTCACTATTGTTCAGTTGTTTGTTCCAGGTGATTTCTCCACAATTTAGTTGTCATTCCTGGTTGGCCCTGGGAGGAGGTCAATGAGACTTCACTCACTCCTCCATCATCTTGATTCCTCTGGTTTAAGGTTCTTAACTTTATTTTGTGGGTGACCTTTTTATTCCTACGAATTCCTTTTTAATGATATATTTACCAATATTAATATATCTTTCCACATATTGTTTGGTAGAAGTTGCATAGTTTTGGTTTTTGCATCTTTGTGGTTTCCACTTTTCTCTGTCATTATGCTTTGGTTAAGTATCTTATAATATAGACTGGAGAGTAGCTTTCTTTTAATTGTTTAATTAATTCTAGATATGACATTTAATTACTGATGTAGATTTATTTCTACTTTCAGAGAGTTACTTTCATTTTGCCATGTAGATTAATGGTTTTATTCCAGTTCCCCCAATTTGTTGTCTTCCAATTATATTTCTAAGGTCTTTCTTTCCCTCCTTTCACCTGTCCTTTTTCTTTCTTTTTTTCTTTCTTTCTTTTTTTCTTTCTTTTTAACATACTTTGTACAAAAGCTACAAATGAAATGCAAATTTGAATGTACAAATAGATTTTATTTGCCCTCCACTTGGAATTACTTGGTTATGTATAAAATTGTAGGGCCACTGTTATTTGCTTCTGAACTTTTAGCATATTGTTCCACCGCTTTTTCTTCATCCATAGTTCCAGATAAGTCGTTTGATGCTTTTTTAATCCCTTAATGTTGTAGGATGCCTGTCAGAAAATAAAATTTAGTCAAGGCATTTTAAATTCACATCTGACTAAAGACAAGTAGTTCAAATGAAAATATGTTTGAGAACATATTGATCTTCTTCGAGGTGCCAAAGACTTATTTGTAAAACCCATGAGAAAAAAACTGTTATTTAGAAGTTATGAATTTAAATTCTCTAGCTTAAATCAATGAGAGAGAAATTGCTTCAGAGTGGAAGCCTGCAGGGAATAAAGGCATTGTAGAAGGGAGTCTGATTTAATTTGTGTATTCTCTCTTTGTAGCTGAAGTAAATGAATACCTTGGTGAAACTTTAATCAAGAATTCTCTCTCTCTGCATCCTCATAACTCAGATAATAGTAAATCAGTATTTGTCTGGAAAAGGCTTTTACACAATGAAACTGATGTGTATGTCACGAGACACATCATGTCATATACACAAGACGTGTCAGAAGTTCCAGTGGGTCTGTGGATTTGCTTTTTACATTTTTCTAAATATTCTTATGCATTCTCTTAATCTCCTGGAACTTGGGAACTTGTGAAATATAAGAGTCATGGAAGTGAAATAATCAACTTTCAACATATAAAAAATACTAAACTATAAATGAGCAAAGAAAATATCTACTAGAAAAGCAATGGAAATAATCATAAAACCTCAACACAACCTTGGTAGACTTAGAGAAAATATTAAAAAATGTAGGAAATATATTTGGGGAAATTTTTTGTCTTTGTAAAAAAAATTGATTTAATTATGAGAGGTAGTTGATAATTTCTTTAATTTAAAAATCTAGCCACTAATTTAGAGCATTTCAATTTCAAGTTAAGACTGTTTTCAATTTGGATGCTATCACGAGGTTATAAAAGCCTAGTATTAACAGTGTGAGACATATTAGTAGAACATAAATGATAGGAAATAGAATAAATTTGGTCTTTTCAGTTCACTGCATTGTATAATCTTTAGCTCAAATCCATTAACGTATTGTCTTGGTCCTTTTTTCCCCATTGAGTTCTGGAGAAAACAAAAAAGACACTTGGCAAAATTGCTAAGTGGCTAAAGCACCTCTTTCATTGGTCTCATTGTAATCTGAGGAGCAGCATCAAGAAATGGTCTTGCAGCCCCATGAACCTGAAAACAGGACCTGTTTTTCAGCAGCTTTGCTCATAGTCACCTCTACTGTGAAAGACACTAAAACTTCTCCTTGAGTCTAACCCTGTTTTAATCCCACTGGGCCAACAGATAAATGTGACTTGAATGGAAGAAATTGGCCACAGGCTTCTTACTACTTCCCCCTTCATTAACCCCTACCTATGGATGTAGGAATAATGATTGGGTGGTTGTTCTTGGTGGCAGAAACTAGAAATGAGAAGCATCAGTCTATATTACAGGAAGCATACACTTGTCCCTTGCACTGGTTTAATCTGAACTGGTAGACTGTTTCTCAGTATTGCAGAGGTGATGAGGACTCTGACTCCAGGCCAAAATCCTATGTGTGATCCCTTGTCTGTCTACAGGACATTGCAAAGCCTCTGCCTAGCAGGCCCATGTGGGAAGGTGGTCCTCTCCACATCAGGCTTGGTACATTGCCGATCAATGCTTTGCAGTTTCCAGAGAGAGTTGCTGTGGAGGACACAGTCCCTCACCCTTGGGAGGCCATGCTCTATGCATATCTGCAACCCTAGACCAGGACCTCCTTTTGGAGACATTCTTGTTGGGGGCCTCAGCTGCAATGCTTTCTGGTCACCTCTGCAGAGACCGTTTTATTGGAGGAGGGGGATGGCAGTTATCTTGAGTAAAATACTCTTCTCCACTCTGACTCAGTGCTTTTCTACTCTTAGTCCTTCTCTCTCTCTTTCCTCTTTCTACTCTCACCCATCCCTCAGTCCATAAAACTGCAAAGTCTTTTATTTCAGTGCTCCTTTGTAGTGAGGCACTGGCACTGCATGTCACCTGACTTGCCCAGTGCTATTCTATGGGGCAAATGGAACTGTGAGGAGCCAGCACTACTTTCCTTTTTGGCTTATACCACAATAGTAGGGAAAGGCTGGACTGTGAACAATCAGTTTGGCTTGTCCTAATTGATCGCTTTAACATCTGGGAGCTTTCCACAGGTAGTATAAGGAAAACCAAGAGTCAAGGGATGCAATGATTTTAAAAAGAAAATTGTTTTCTGTTTGGCCAGAATTTGCAGTACCAACAGACACATTATGTCTTTGTTGTTTTTATTTGATTCTGTAGGCCTTCAAGAATAGCCTAAAGTGAGCAGAAGCTCTGAGATGGAGGAGATCTTAAAATTCTCAAAAGTCACCCTCTTATCTGGAGCAGACGTCTTCTTTAAACTATCCTTTTTGGGTGATTATAAAGTAGAAAACATCCCCATCTCATCCCCTTGGTGGTTCTAGGTTAGAGCCTTTTTTTTCCTTAAGTAAATGTAATTTCTTATTTCAAAATTTATGACACAGAACTTAACTTAGACAAGAATCAGGAAGGCCTGCAGGGGAAGTTCTCTGGTGGTACAATTGATTGGCATGTGATACTTAAACAGCATTATACAATGCTGTGGTTTTCAAGTTTCATCTGGAAGCTTGCAGGTAGCTTACCATTATTATTATTATTTTTTTTTACTGTTGACACTCTACATTATACATAATAATCTACCATGGGTTTGCGTTGTATATGGGAGGGGGGAGTCTGCTGATAATTAAGAGTATATATGTGCATTACTTTGCCTACCTTTTTAAATGTAAATTTTTAGGATTGTAGATTACTAGGGGAGCACAAGTATCAGCAATTACATTTTTTTTTTCCTGAATGAATAAGTCTTCATTTCTTTCCCTTTTCATAAGGAGGTCATATTAGCACAATAAAGCCAGGACTTTCATCTTTGGGCATTAGTTAGGATGTGTTTCAAAGTTATGTGTCTTCCTGTGAATGTAGGTTTAGAAATGTTCCTGGTCCAGCCTCTATGGACACTTAAAATTTTCTGAAAGAGAAACTATAATATTAAGTTTTCAATTCTGCCTCTAAGATCAAAATAGAAGAAAACAATTAAACCTTGTGAAGGGCTCAGGATACAGAAAGCTTTAGCAAATGCTTCTGGATTAAAAAGATGGGCCTTCCAAGTTTACTTGATATAGTTGTCACAGTTGTGAAGTTAGAATGGAGACTGCCATTGGAATCTAAGGCACTAAAACTGGTACTTATAGAAATGCCAGAGCCCCAAGGAGTCTACACAGAGCCCTTATATAGAGCATAGGTTGTGGTTTGTTGTTTTTTTTTTCTTTTTCTTTTTCTAGCTATTAAGGCACAAGAACAGGAAGGTCACTTCTTAGAACACCTAGAGATCAGTCAGATAATTGATACCTTCTGAGTTACCACCCTTCCCATTCCATTTACCTCTGAATCTAAAGTAAATAAAGGAAATGATCGTGGTGATGAAGACAGTGAGAACACACAGGATCACGGTTATATCTTCCAGCCATATAGTATCCAATTGGAAATGTGGATCTGAAGGAGGAACTGAAGAGAGATGCAAGAATTAAGAGGGTCACAGATTTAGAAGAGATTTACATTTCAAATTCCTGTTCTTCTCTACCGCTGGGCTTCTATGAGGGTGGGGAAGAAGTAGGCTGGGTTATGAAGATGATCATCGAATTGAGCATGTTTGGGCCAAGTCTGGAAGAGGGCTGAGTAGACACAGATACACATTTTTCCACTCAAGCAGCATGACACTTGTTTTCTGTTTGGCCAGAATTTGCAGTACCAACAGACACATTATGTCTTTGTTGTTTTTATTTGATGCTGTAGGCCTTCAAGAATAGCCTAAAATGAGCAGAAGCTCTGAGATGGAGGAGATCTTAAAATTCTCAACAGTCACCCTCTTATCTGGAGCAGATGTCTTCTCTAAATTATCCTTTTTGGGTGATTATAAAGTAGAAAACATCCCCATCTCATAACATTGATTCATATATCTCGTGATGGGAACATGACTGCCGACAGGATATCCACTTTATTACTGGACATCTATGCCTACTTTCCTATAACAACTGTAATTTGCCTCACTGACAGAGATTGTTCATTGATTCATATGGAATAGGTTCAAGAACAGGCCTCCCCAAGATGTGCTACTTTGGCATGTGGATTATTTTGAGCTGAAGGCTGTCAAGGCCCTGTGAGTTCAAGAGAAATTCTTGCCTCTCCCTCAAGCAATTTAAATAAGGCCTTGCCCATTATAAGAGTTATTACCAGAGATAACCTTTTATGACCTATCTATAGGGCAAGGCAAAGGTCTAGTTACTTACCATTTGCTCTTATTGTGAACTGTCCTTCTTCCCTCTGAAGCCCCAGGTGTACTAATTTATTCCTTAGGTCAGTATGTCATATACATGTCATTTTGCCATTCTGTCTCTAAACCTCTCAGGTATGTGAAGTCTCTGACTCTTGTGTGTGAGGTTCTTATATGCACATATGCAATTAAATTTGGTTACTTTCTTTTGTTAATCTGTCTCATGTTGATTTAATTATTAGATCAGCTGAAAGAGCCTAGAATGGTAGAGTAAAATTTCTTTCTCCCCTAACATTTCTGTCTTGTAAAGAAAGACAGCCGAGATGGAGAGGATGGAGAAGCGGGACTCAGGGAGTCTTAAATCCATGTCATTGAAATAGCAGTTGAAATAACTGATGGTATTGTTGTTAAAGAAGAAAAGACTTATAAGGCATTATGATTGCAGGCCTCAGCTCCCATGTTGTGGAGATAAAGGATCTAAAATATTCCTTATGGTCTGAGGCTGTACAAATGCGGGGTAAAGCATTCACCTAATTAATATCTACTTTATCCCTATAATTTGAGGTAAATTATTTGCCATTGATGAGGTCAGAGATTCCTTTTACAATGTTAATAGAATAAATTTTTTAAAATAGCAGAATTACTCTGGGTAGGCATGCAAAAAGAATCAGAGTGAAGAGTCAGCAAGTCTCTCAGTCACATATATCTATTTTTCAAACATTAACATTTAGGAGAACTTCAAGCCTCTCCTCATAAGGCATAGAAAATAATTTAAAACAAAATTGAAGAAAAAACTTGGAAATAAAATAGTCCAAAGATGCTAAGAATATTAACTCAGAGGAGTAAGTGTGTTTACACTAAACTGTTTTTTATTTTCTCTCCTCTCTCCATGACTAGAGCTGTCCCACGCGGAGAAGGCAAGTTAAGGTCATAGAGGGAATGCAAGTGAAGAAAGACATGGCACGAGCTCAGAGCAGAAGGGAAAAAGGAGGATGGCAAACACATGTAGTCCAGTTTTCCTACTAGATGATGTCACTAGAAAGGGATTCAGGATAGAATTCCTGACTAATGTTAATAACAATCATAATAATAGCAAATAATAATATTGCTTGTACTATGTGCAAAGCCAGGCTGAATGATTTTAATACATTGACAAACTTAATCTACAATAACATTATGTAGTATGTATATTTTATCATCAGTATTTCACAGATGAAGAAACTGTAATTCAGAGACTAAATAACTTCCCCAAATTCATGCAATTACTAGTATAACCAAGGAAATCTGGCTTTCATCTGGCACCGATTCTTGGAAATAAGTGGGGTACATCTCTTGAAGGGTTCTCTGTGCATAAACTCCACAGAGAACAGACACAGCCCAATGTGTCTGATGGAGAGGCCAATGCTGGCTCTCACTTTTTAGAATAAACAATTACCTACATTTAGGAAAGTAATCTAATCAGAATATAGTGAAATATTCAGAGTAAGAGACACATGGTTTGAATCCCAGGAATAATCAGTCACTACTTGCTAGATCAACTGATACAAGTTAATCAAATTTTATGTTCTTCTGTATCTGTATCTTGAAGATGGAGAGATGATAGACATTGCAAGAGAATGTTACAGAATTAAAGTATGCAGTGATTATGGAATTTTCTGACAATTAATATTTGTTAAATGAGTTTATAAGTGATTTCTCAATTGATAAGCACCAAGAAGAAAAATTAGTCCAGAAAAGGCAGGGCAAATAGAATGTTGCCTGTACTAGGGAGGAAGGCTGCTAAATGAGACATTATAGAGGGAGCAATAGTCTTAGGGGAACGTACAATTTAAGTAAAGAGAAGGGTCAGTAGCAATCAGAGAAGAGGTTAGTGGGCAGGCCAGGGTTACCTGCCTATTATCAGGAGTTGTCAGCCATGTGAAGTAGAGGTGGTGACTCAGTTTTAGGTTCTCAGGGTAGAGCAAGCAAAAATGAAGTTTTAATCTCATGACTCATTTGTAAGGATTTCAAGTCAGTTTTGACAATGACAATGACCTAAAGCCTATCTTGAGGCCTCTGGTTCTCCCCTGGAAGCCTCATAAATAACTAAGCGCCCGTGGTGTATTTCCCTGTGGCGATCTACTACTTTTCACAAAAGCTTTGACAAATCTCTCTCTTTTTATTTCCTTTTAATTTCTTTTCATAGAGGAACAGTTCAGTTGTTGAAACAGGGAGCTAAAGGATCTGAGTGCCTGAGCTGGGACCCTGGCTCCACTATCACTTGGCTATGTAAATAAGCCATCTAACTTACTTCTTTGTGTACCAGATTTCATCACCAATAAAATCTAATTCACCAAAGAGCAAGTACAGTTGACTCTTGTACAACTTGGGGGTTAGGGACACAGATCCAATGACCCATCAAAAATCTGAGTGTAACTTTTGACTCATTCAAAATTTAACTACGAATAGCCTATACTGTTGACCAGAAGCCTTATTGATCACATTTAAAAAAAAATTAACACATACTTTGTATGTATATGTATTATATACTGTATTTTTACAATAAAGAAAGCTAGAGAAAAGAAAATGTTATTAAGAAAATCATAGGAAGAGAAATCAAAGACACAGATTTTAAGCATTCATGACATACCTAACTTTTTCCTTATTTTTTCAATATATCTAGGCTACAAGTTTCATCTGTGTGTTTTGCAAATTGTTGCTAATCTCCAAATAATTTTTCAATATATTTATTGAAAAATGTTTACATATAAGTAGCTCCATGCAGTGAACCCATGTTATTCAAGAATCAACAGTATATTAATCTATATAAAATCCATAGAGCACCTAATAGGTATGGAATATATATTTCCCATTATTATAGCATTTTGCTTATTTCCTCTGACACTGATGGATATGGCACTGAACCTGCTAACGTGGTTAATATGCCTGACTCAGGTATGCACTTTCTTCGAGAAATATAAAAACCACTTTCAGTTTGGTTTGACATAAGGTCATTTGTGTCTTCATTTCAAGGGAGAAAACTAATAAATAAAATCCCCTGAAGAGTCCAACCCTACTTTCTGACTTCTACGTTGTAATTTTTTTGGCTATAGCTGTCTCTCCAGCTTGCAATAAAGAATTACCTTACCTGGCTGCTCGTTACCTTACATAATTTCCATAGGGACATCAAAGATAGAGCTGAGGGCAGTTTTCAAGTGTGTTAGTTTCAGTTATTCCAATACTTACACAATTGCCTTTATAATTTCATCCTCAAAGAGAGCCAAGAGGAGAAGGATAAATTTCAGGTATCCATGCACACTATGAAATTGAGCAAAATATGTGTGGACATATGGATTATACTGAGAAGAAGGTCCTTTGCTTTGCTTCCATCTCTAACAGAAGTCTGTGACACCCCAACAGTTTAAGATATACTGAATTACTCCTTCCTCTAGGCTAAAAGTATGAAAAGAGTTGGCATATTTTACTAGATGAAGTGATGCCTGGAGCTATTAAAACTGAGGACAATATTTTCTTTTCTGAGGGATCAGAAGCATCAGCAGTTTGTATCATTAAACCCCAAATATCCAGGAGGCTGAAATGGATACCCTAAGACACGAAGACCACTTTTTTTGTCTTATAACTTAAACAAATATTACTCTTCTTTGGCTAAATGTTCACCAAACACTGGTCATTGGAAAAGGAAATATTTTCAGGAAGTGCCCACCTTTTTGATCCCACATACCTCTGCTTTTGTGATACAAATAGGAAATGAGTGAGATGACTACAGTTAGCGAAAGCAGTACTATTCCTGTGCCCACTGTTATTGGATCTCTCATTTTGCAGCTGCAATCTGAAGAAAAAGAGATATAATGATCACTGGTTATTGGTTTGGAGGTACTTTGGATTGAGGAAAAATGCACCAAGCATGCAAGAGCTTTATTTTAATGCCATCCCTCTGTATTAATTTAGAATAGGACTAATGGAAAAAAAGACAATACAATTAAGATGTAGTCTAAAGAAGTTAGTTCAAGGACCTAAAGGTTCTAAAGGGTCTAAAGCATTCAGTCTAAAGCTGGTGGTGACCAGGACAAGAAGCAGAGCTGTTTCTAGAATGGGACAGGTTTTTGTCTAAGGCTCAATAGACCTGGAGAAAAGCAACTTATTTTTCCCCCCCTCCATTTAACCCATAAATCAATGTGCCTCATTAGAGAGCATAAAACAAGGGTTATGCATTGGCCATTATCACTTTATCAAGTTTTGAAAGAGGCCAGAAGAAGGATAGCTCTGGAGACCTCTGACTGCCTAAGAATCTCATGAGTCAAAGGGTTATCAGACAATATATTGTTTGAAATCTTATTATATTGTCGTGTGGTTACCTAGTCTTTCCATGAAAATATTCTACAGTGTGGGGGCTCACTACTATAGGTGGTGCCCATTTTTTTTGCCGGAAAATTGTAAACACAATTTTACTTAATGATTAAATTATAGCATACAAAGATTCATGAGTTTTTTGGTGGCATAACTGGTCCCTCGTTTTTGCCTCCCCCCAACAACAAAATTTGGCACCCATCTACAAAAAGAAGTGTTTCTGAGGGAACTGTGGGACACAGGGCCCTATACCAAGGGGCCTAGGAGGAGTCTTGCCCACCTGTGCATCGGGTAACAGGCCGAGAGTCTCTGGTACTGACTCTGGAAGATAAAGGAGCCTGTGAACAGCATCTGACTCTTTCTGTTTGTTCTGAAACACATGAGAACATTGACTTAAGCAGTTACCTACCACCTAAGAGAGGGTCCTGTGGAAGTCCATATTTCCCCAGAAGAAGTTACAGCACTGGGAGAGAGAGAGAGATTGTGGATGCATTGGAGTGCATGAGGATCAGCTCGACACCTCCCCAAGTAGGAAGAGCTTAAGGCTAAATGAGATGGCTGTGATGTCTCCCTTGGGTTATGGGAAAGCCAGTGAATAAATGCCTGGCTTCCCCAGCTGTGCAGGAGGCTTCCAAAAGACTCATTCATCTATCAGAGTAACCAGTGTACTCAACTGGAAGCTCTGTGAGGGGTGGGGAGGGAGCAGATCAAGGGAGCGCATATAAGGTTTAAGGAGGGCATTAATGGGATATGTTTCTTGCTGATTACATTCTGGATTCCATCAAGAAGCCTGCCTATTAGCTACAGGATAAACCTAACCCAAGGACCTTCCAAATTGGCCTGCTGGCACACCATATGCCAAATCTACACCTCCCTCCACTTTGTGGCTGGCTCCCAGTTCTTGCTCTGGAAGGCTTCAGTGAGAGCAAGCACTGGTAGATAGGGGTCAGGAGAAGAAAGCAGGCCAGGGTGTGTGGGATAGGGAAAACTATACAGTCACCTTCAGGGAAACAAAAAAGACTGAGAGCAGCCAGCATTGTGTGTTGTAAAATGAAGAGAAGATGCACAAGCTAAAGAATTCTGCCACAAAAGGGTACAAGTGTGGGGCAGGTGTATCCATACAGAGTCTGAGACAGACTCAGGATCTATAGCAGTTGCAACCATGTATCCAAAAAAGGGTTTTAATATCCAAATTCTACAAAGAATTCATACAACTCAATATAAAAGATCAGTTTTAAAAATGGGCAGAGGGTCTGAATAAACTTTTTTTTCCAAAGAAGACATACAAATGGTCAATGGGTACATGAAAATATGCTCAACGTCACTGATCAACAGGGAAATGCAAATCAAAACCACAATTAATCATTGCCTCATACCTGTCAGAATGGCTATTGTTTAAACAAGAAATAAAAAGTGTTCGCCAGAATGTGGAGAAAGGGGAAGCCTTGTGCAGTGTTGGTGAGAATGTAAATTGGTACAGCCACTATTGAAAACAGTATGGAGCTTACTCAAATATGGAAACTAGGACTACCATACGATCCAACAATTCGACTTCTGGGTATAGTTGGGTGCCATACATGAATATTTACATCAACAAGAGACCACATGTATGATGGTGGTCCCATAAGATTATAAGGGAACTGAAAAATTTTTACCTCCTAGAGTCTTAGCCGTCATAATGTGGTAGTGCAGTACATTACCATCGTGTTACAATTGCCAACAGTATTGAGTAGAGTAACACGCTGTACAGGTTTCTAGCCTAGGAGCTGTAGGGGAACAGGATGTATCACCCCCAAAATATGTCTATTTGGCATAAGAATTATTTTAGGCTTGTTAATTTTAAGAAACAGCAGACATTGGAGAAGCTCTGAAAAACACGTAGAAGATAGCCTTTGTAAAATGCATGTACCTTTGTAAGGATGTCTTCCTGGTTTTAGCAAGAAGAGGGGAATGACCTTATCTCTGCAAACTTTTATCAGTGCAGAAGAAAATGACTTAAATATGCATAACCACCCTACACTTGTTTACTGTGCTGGAAATCCCACATAACTGACTCCACCAATGACAACATCTTCTTTAGTCTTTAGCTGAAGATGGTATTTAAGTTGCTGCTTCAGACATTTTATTGAGTTACTTAGTTTTCCTGGGTATCTCCCATGTATATAAGAAAAATACAGGATATTTGCCTCTGGTTTGTTTTTCTCCTGCTAAACAACTTCTTCTTCTTCTTCTTCTTTTTTAAAATTATTATGATGTCTTTGCTAGGAACCCAGAAGGGTAAAGGGAAAATTATTTTCTCTTGCCTGCAAAGCAGTAAGCTACACCATATAGCCAAGGTGTGTAGTAGGTTATACCATCTAGGTTTGTGTAAGTGTGCAATGATGAAACTGTCTAACCATGCATCTCAGAAGGTATCCCTGTCATTATGTGGCACTTTGACTATATTTACTTAAAGAAAACAAAAATGCTAACTTAAAAGTATATGTATACCATGTTCATTGTAGAATTATTTGCAATAACCAAGATATGGAAACCACATAAAAGTCCATCAATGAATGAATGACCAAAGAAAATGTGAGATATACACACACATACAATGGAATAAAATCTTGCCATTTGTGTCAACATGGGAGTTATGCTAAGTGAAATCAGTCAGAAAGAAAAAGACAAATACTGTATGATTTCACTTAGATGTGGAATCTAAAAACAAAAATTTAAAAAAAGCAAAGAGCTTATAGATACAGAGAATAGAGTGTTGGTTGCCAGAGCCATGGGGGGATGGGTCAAAGATACCCAAAGATAAGTGAGTCAAAAGATACCAACTTCCATTCCAGTTAGAAAATATATGTCATGGGAATATAATATACAGCATGGCAATTATAATTAATAACACTGAATTGCATATTTGAAAGTTGGTAAGAGAGTAGAACTTAGAAGTTACCATCACAAAAAAATGTAACTATAGTGATGGATGTTAACCAAATTGATTACAGCTTTAGCTCCCCTGCCCCCTTTAGCATTCCCTACCCTTCTTACCTTGCAACCTGTAATGTAAATCGACACTGGGCACCATGATAAAAAGCAGCAGCAAACCCAGAATCATGGTCAGAATCAGTATCCATAAAGTGTTCCATGGAAACAATTTAGCTGAAATAAAAGAGCCACAAATCTTACCACTTAGGAAACTTGGAGTTTTTGGACCTCTCAAACCAGGAATGATAATTTATCCAAAGCATGTTTTAATCGAAGTCCCCATGACCCAGGGATATTAGCCCTGAGCCAGTCTGGGAAGACAGTTGTAACTGGATGACTGAAAAGTGAGACAGGGCCTGCAGTGGGGCTGAGCACCGTGTGAGTAAAGGCGAGTGCAGGGGCGCCTTCCCCAACCAGCCCTAGGCCTTCCCCTCCATTCTATCTCATGCTCTCCCTGGCTCAACAGGAATTGGCAGAGCTAGTTTTTCCCCCCAGGTGTTAGACCCAACTCAGTCCTTCAGCCCTTTTATCTAAGCAATCGATATAAGTGCAGTCCTGAATTCTCCAACATATTCACTTCAGGCATTATGCTTCAGAATACGTTGAGAGACATATATTCATATAAACTTTTCTCCTTTTCTTTTCTGTGCACAAATATCTTTCTCCTGCTGGCTTGCATATTCTAAGCATGGGCACATCATTTTGTTTGGTAATCAATTCTTTCTTCCCAGAGAAAAATCTCTAGTCTGCTTATAACATCCCATTACATACAAAGAAGTAAAACCGAGAGGTTGCTAGTGAGCCAGTTACAAATTCTGCTACGCACCATTTCAGGTTGTTTGGTGGGCAGGAACCTGGATTGAGCTGGTGCAATTTATGGGTCTCAGAACCCCATGACTTTGGAGCCAACCTTATATCCAGGGGAGCTTCCCCACACTGCAACCCATTGAGCTGAAGAAGAGCTTTGTCAGCTCACAAGTCAGCCAGGGACTGAGTCCTAAGCAAGACTGAATTTTGATTATGACCTTTTCTTTATCATAAGCTTTGAATCTTATTTATTTTTTGTGATGTTCAGTGAATGGAAAACAAGATCTCCCTCAGATGTCTCTGTTTCCCAGAACTTTAACTCAATCCCCAAAGTTTGTGTGAATTATATTTTTTTAATACATGTTTTTAAAAGGTTAATAGCTACTTTGGGACTGTATTAACTCAGAAAAACATTCCTCTTGTTATTTACTGAAGTTGTAAATATGTTAATAAAGATTTTATTCATTTTCTTTTCTTTGTAGAACACAAAGAATGTATATCCTGCTACGAACTCTGGGGGCAGAGGGTAAGTAGTTTGGTCTTTCTTTATCTCATGTAACTGCTTGTCTTATAGAAGTGTCTTACTGTTCCTCACACAACCATACAATGAAGTTTTGGTTGTTTTCTGGAAGATCAAATGAGCTAATAAACAGAAAAATAATCTAAAAGTAGCAAATTGTTAAGCCTATTAAGGGACTTTTTCCTATTATAATATTCTTGAATTAGAATATTCCTTTCAGCACCTGGCTCAAATATTAGTTTCATGGACATACACAAATATTAACACATATATATTTACTTGGCAGTTTATAAGGTACTCATTTTGTTTTAGTCTGATCATTTGAGTATCAAAAATTTATTGCTTATTTACTATGGGCCATGCATACGTAAAGCAGTTGAAGTTTATCAAGTATTTAAAACCAACAAAGATTTCTACCTTCATGTGTTAGAGAGGGAGATGGAGAAGGGAGAATAAAAATAATAAATAAATTATACAGAAAAAGGATACAATATTATGTAAAAAAATTAAAGCAGGGTAAGAAGATAAGGAATCCCAGATAGTGGGACAGGTTGCATTTTTTAAGTTGGCTTGTCAAACTGCTCCTTATGAAAAAGGTGAGAACTGGGCATAGACTTAAAGGAGATAAGGAAATTTAGTGGAACTACCGTGTTCTGGAAAGCGGGAGTAACTAGACCAAAGTCCCCAGCATCAGGAGCTAGTCTGGCATGGCTGTGAAACTTCAAAGAGATCAATATGATTGGAATAGAATGGAAAAAACAATTTTAGGGGATGAGGTTAGTTCGGTAATGGGGACACAGGTAATGCAGGACATCGTGGGGCATTTCACTCTGAATAAAATGGGGAACTATTGGAAGGTTTTGAACAAAAGGCGATGTTATATGCTTCATATTTTAAGTGGGCTCTCCTATCTATTTGTTGAGAATACAGCATAGTGGACAACAGTAGAAATAGAGAGAACTTTTCAGATTCTATTGCCAATATCCAGACCATGGGTGATGGTGTCTTGGACTTGGAAGGAAGAAGTAAAGTGGAGAGAAGCGGTGAGTCTGCATTTATTTTAAAGGTAGAACTAGTATTACCTTTCGACAGGTGTGACATGGAATATGAGAAAAGTATGGGATTCAAGAAAGACTTCAAGGATTTTATTCTTTGAAACTGAGAATATGAGGTGGGATTGGAAAGGCAGTAAATTACACAAATTTGAAGGTGATTAGGAGTGTAGTGTTTATTGTGTTGATTTGGGATATTTATTACACTTCCACATTGAGATGCTGAGTTTAGTTTATTACTAAATATTAATAAATAATAACTTTTATTATTCATTATGCATATTTATTATTTTATTGTCCCTTTTCTATCTCCCTCTCTAACCCATGGAAGAGAGGCCTGGGCAGGAGATACCATCCAGGGAACCACGGTCACATTGATGGCACATAAAGCCATGAGATGGGACTAAGGTACAAGGGAAAATGCTCCGAGACTAAGCCTTGGAGAATGCCTATGTCGAAAAGGCAGAGATAAAAGATAAAGTAGCAGGAGAAAACTAGAAAGAAAATGAGTGAGAGGATGAATAAAACCAAGAAAGTGTAATATCCTAGAAACCAAGTGAAGAGAGCATATTATTTTTTTCTCCTTAGTTTATAAATTTTAGGACAACGGCCATCATTTGAAGAGTAAACACACAGGTCTCACCTGACAGGGCGATGCTTGTCCTTTCCTCTTGACCAGTCATAGGGTTTCGAAGGTAGCAAGTGATATTCTCCCGAGAGCTCTGTGTAAATAGAAGGGCTATCTTCATGTTGAACAATTTGTTCACATCCTGTGAGTGGGATTTTGATACAGCTGGAATGACCCCTCCTCTGCTGTCTCTCCATTCCATTTGAGGCTCTGGGAACCAACCTCCTGAGGTACACTCCACCAAAAGACCTCTGATATTAGGAGGATGCACAAGGATCTGTACTTGCAAGCTTGTAGCTGGTTGGAAAGAAAAGGAGAAAACAGTATTTTTAGGTGAAGAGAAGGGAAAACAGAACAGAGAAAGAAAAGCTCCCCTGTCCCATCCCTTCCCCTTTAGGTATAGTGATAGCCAAGCATTCTTGGCTTGCCGCTCTAACTGTCACTACAAACTAAGCACGAGGGAAACGGGATGAGCCGGACTGAAGGCTTAGATGTGCACTTTAACAGTGCAGGGGAGAAAATGTCTGCTTGTTCTGTTTATTAATTAAAAAATATGTAACATCCTACTATTATACAAAATAAAGCAGCACATATCAGTTTAGAGAAAATAAACTAGTTTTTGAGAAATTTCAAGACATTGCCTGGGACATAAGAACTTCACTAAATGTGTGGGCAAAAAAAGAATAATAAAGATTTAACATGTGACATGACAACAGCTCTGTCCAATAAAAGTTTCTACACTGATGGGAATACTCAGTATCTGTGCTGTCTGATACAGTAGATATTTGCTACACGAGACTGTTAAGCACCTGAGATTTGGCCAGTGAGATTGAGAGTTGCTTTTTAACTTTACCTAATTTAAATATAAATTTAAATAGCCACATGCAGATAATCGCTGTCATATCAGATAGGTCATCTCTAAGCAATAGGACTGAGTGTCGTATTACCCAATGACCGCCTTAAGTTAGTGAGTGGGCCTTGCACCTTTCACTAGGGCCCTCACATTTGTGAAACCTTCCAGTTTACTTCAAGTCCTCCATCTCGCCACTGTTCCTTTGTCATTCAGAATAGTTCAAGGGTGAGGTGGCTAATTTAAATACCATATTTTGCATACAATACAAATATGGCATATATACTGGAGGACACTAAAGATTGTAGACGAAGGCTTTTTGAAATAGATTTAAGAAAACTTGGTCTGAAACTAAATAGTCAGTGAATTGAGTCAGGGAGAAATGGGAATAAAAATCACCATTATGTATGCCATTGTAAAGATTTAGGTAGTTTACAAAGAAAGGTTTCACGAAAATGTATTCAGATATAATTAGAAGGACAGTAATAAATCCTGAAAGGATTCCGTTGATACTTTACAGATCTAACAGTTTATGTAGCAGGGAAAACATAAAGGTAATATGTTATCTTTGATAACATACCTTGATAAAAGTAACATGTGCAGACACAATCTGCATTCTTAATCCTACACTCTTCTCAGCTTCAAGACTAAATGCATGGATTTGAACTTGCTAACCAAACCATGCGATATAAAAATTGTCAGAAACACGGAGAATTTTCCTAATATTCAGCCTCAGATGCTTTGAGAATCATGGATGCAGAAGCCTCAAAGGGATCCACCGTTACCTGTAACCTTCACTTCTTCAATGGCTTCTTCATAGAAATCACCGTCTCTGAAGAAGCAGTGGTACTGCCCATCGTCATCAACAGTGACGTTGAGGATCCTGAGGGTCACTTTACCCTCTCTGATATCTCCTTTCAGGAGCTCCGTCCGCTCTACATACCTGGAGATAGTTTCTCCATACAGGTCTTTACCATTCTTGTATAGGTGAACAGGTTGTGTGTAGCGGTTCCGGAACCAGCGTATCTCCATGTGTTCTGCGTTTTGTGGCGGGGACAGCTGACAGCTGAGCTCAACTACTTCACCCAATTGAGCCAAGATTATCCCCTGTAAGCCAGACACTGTAAACTGTTCTGGGAAGGGAGATGGTAACCAGACCGAGAATATGAGCGATGTCATACTTTGTATTTGAATCACTATATACGTATATATAATCATGCACACTATTTACACACACATAAATGACATTCCAGATGTTTCAGTGAGGTGTTGGAGGCTATTCTACCACATTTATATATTGTACAAATATGCATATATACATATTATATATTTCTATTCCTAATAATTCCACATTAATGTTGTAACTTGACTTATAAGGATAATTTGTGTTTCTACCATTCTAGGTAGCAATGGGTTCTGAACATCCCCTACCAATACCACCTATAGGATTACCTTACTGTTTTAGTATCTGGTCAGAGACTCCCAGTTTGAGTCTCTTTAAGCTTAAGATGAAAATTTCAAGAAAATAGAAAAAAGCAATTAAAAGGGGCATTCCTCCAGGCCTTAACAAGGGACTCTGTATACTAAGTGGTTAATCAAATAATGTAGGCTGACTGACCAGCACAAGAGAATAAAATCTTCCCCAAAAAATATTTGTAACCATTACTCTTGCTCTCTCTCACCCTCAGGCCAACCACCAACCATTCTTGCTTAGACTGCAGAAATCTGCACTGACTTCAGTACTTTACAGATTACTCTTTTTAACTCTTTTGAACACAAATTATTCTGTAGGAAAATTCTTTTAATTCAAAAGAGACACTATCTGTGTATCTCTCAAAAGATAATATCTCACTGTAATAGACTTCTGCACCATCTAGACTATGTTACTTTGCACTTCTGGTAGAGGGTTTTTTAATCTTTGGACTTAAAAAAGTGTAAAAATTTACTAAGTCCTTATATATGTCTTCCAAAATGAGTTTGTTAGCTTTTTGTTTCCTTCAATGCAAAGCCACACACCACAACTCTTTGAAAGGGAAAATAAAGCTTGGATGTATGTTATACCTTTATGTAATAAAGAACAAAATATATTTGTTTATTCATGTATGCATTTTAAGTTGGTTTCTTTGTAACTATGCAATATTATAGGTTCATATGAGAAGACTTTAATACAGAATTATTTAAGTAAGAAAATAAAGGTGTCCCAAATTTACATGCTAGAGAAATATTGTCCACATTTAGATACAAGATATCCAATAACAGAATAGGGAAGAAATTAAAGATAAGTTTAGACACTGTTAAGAAAGTAATAGTAGTTAGTAATTGCTAAAATATTTTAAGCACTCACAATATACATGGCAATATTCTAAACCTAAAAAAATAAATAAATGAAAAACAATATACCATATTCATGAATGGGAAAAATCAATCCCTTAAAAGTTTCAAATATCCCTCCCCCAATAAAGTATAAGTTCGATATAGTTCGATATCCCAAAAATTTTTTCATAAAAATTGACAAGACACAAATCAATGTGGATGAATAAAGGCTGAAGGAGTGCCAAAGCACAACCAGGGAAAAGGAAGAGAGGAAAAATGCATGAGAATTAAAAAGATGGAATTAAAATAAAAAAGGAGGAGAGAAAAAAGAGAAAAAATGGAGTTTGAAACATATTAAAAATCTTTAATATAAATTGAACTATTTTTTCTAATTAGAATTATTTAATATGAGGTATTATTATTTTTCTAACAATAAAGTTTAGCAGTTTGGAGATCAGTACAATATAGGAATTATTAAATATTACTTTAAACAAGTTTCTGAGTTCATTTAATAATATTCCATTTATAGCTTTAAATTCACACTCATAGATGAAATTTATCTGCTTTTTAGCATTTCTTTTTCAGATTGTGATGTCAGGATTAATGGTCATTGTTATATCATTTAAAATTCTTCCTAGTTTTCTTTATCCTCTTGAATTCCTCACAAAGCAGGGACATGAACTCTAAAATTTTGAAAAGAGCAACAATAAACTAAAATTTTAAACTTGTTTTAGAACAGTTCTTTGATAAGATTTTTTCCACTTCACCAACTTAAATGGCCATTGACATAGAAAGGTTTTCTTTATTTCGAGCAAAATTTTGTAATTCTTTTTTTTTAACATTAAACCATCTAATTTACTACGATTCCCTAGTTTCATGAAACACTTTTTTACTGATCATTCATAATTAGTTTTCTGAGCTCATGTCCATTTTAATTTTTCTTTATTGAGGATGAATTTTCCTGTTTTCCTGAAAACAGCTTAATTTGAGAGATTAATTTCTCTCAATTTCAATACAATTTCTTTTACTGTTGTTAAATTGTTTCTCTAATTGTTTCTCCTTACTTGATAAACTTTCTATTATGTTGCTTTTAAGATTTAATGCATTTTAACTACAATAAATCTATATATAAATTTATTTATTTTTTCTGGCTTAAGCTTCACAGTGGTTCTTGAATTGGATAATCCTCATTTTCTTCAACCGAAAAATTCTGACCAATTACGGGTTTAATTTCAGTACTTCTCTTATGCTCTATATTCTATTATATGAATTTTTTGTTCAATATGTAGGCTCACAACTCTTGGGTATTGCCAGCAAGATGTCTTAGACCACCACTACCTTCTCCTCTGAGTGTCCCCACATTAAGATGTTGTATTCTTTGTTTTATCTTTCTGGTACAACAGGGCTACAACAGATGTTCTTTCAGTTTAGAGACAGAAACTCTCAAAGTTGATATTTAGTTCCTGACTAGAAAAGCTGTGGGAATAGGAGACTTTATAAAATGCTCTCATTTTTGTCCCCTGCCCTGCTCTTTGAGGGAAGGATGCAGAAAAAGTTGACAATTGAGGACTCTTCATTTTGGCTGTGCAATGGCTTTTTGCCTCTCCCATCTCTTCTGTTATATTTCCAGTTGGTATAGATGGCCTAAATTTAGTCTTCAGTCTTTTAAATTTAGTAAATTTAGACAACTTAGTCTTTTTTCACCCCGAGAGGTTCAAGAGTCTCAGTACCAATGTGTGATTAATCAATTATTTTTTAAATATTGAAAATTATTTTGTATATAGAAAGGAATACTATTTTATGTATAGTTTAATTCTCATTTTATTATGGGCTTATATAATAAATATTTGAAAATAATTTGAAGTATTTGAGCATTGTCAATGAAGTTAATTTTATTCCCTCAATTAAACTTCAGTTGCAGATCTAAAATACTAATTTTTTTAGTGTGTTTTAAGTGCATTAGATAACAAACAAATCACAGAGTGATTACAAGCTAATCATCAAATGAACCTTTGTATTTATTTTAATATATATAATAATTATGTGGGTTAAATTATTTAATTATTATTCTGTACTAGTTCATATATATAACTGAATATATAATCTGATACATTTTAAGGTTATATAATACTCACTTTAATAAATATTCAGGCTTACAACAATTTTACAAAAAAAAAAATTTCTGAAAAGTGTAATTGAAAGTACTGGGACATTTTCTATTACAACCAACAGAATGGCAAGCATAACTCACTGTAGCAATTTGAAGTCACCAAAGTAAAAATAATTACTTATTTTGAAAATATATATCTTTAAACTTTTACAGAAAATTAATTTTAAAAAAGAGTACTGATCATGAATTATCTCTAAGAGATATTAAAATGTATTTTATAAATGCAATCTTTTTCTTTTAAGATTTGAAATTGGCCCATGAGAAGAGAGTTCAATGGGAGAGAGTTTAATAATTTAAATACATAGGGGAATTTAGTTTATAACAAAGATGACATTTGGGATCAGTGCAGAAAGATGGATTATTTAATAAATGGAAAGGATAACTAGGTATTCTTAAAAAAAGTAATGTTACAGTTCAGTGTCAATCCTTATAAAAGAAATTGTTTTTCATGGATTAATTTGAAAGTATAAAATAAATACAAAAAGTGATTGTTATAATCTTGGAATGTTGTCTGGAAAACTTTCTAAGTAAACAGAGTACCTGGAAATTACAATAAGAAGAAAATGTTGAATTAAACAACATAAAAAAAAGTGGATAAATTGAGTTATAAACAGGTCAAGAATATATGCAAAAGGTATAACAAATCAAACATTAATCCACTAAATTTAAAATTTTAATTGATTAAAATTAAAATGTCTTCTCTAAAGAGGCTTAAAAGAAAGAAAGGACAAGCCACAGACTGAGAAAAAAATATATGTGATACAAGATTTGCATCCAAAATATGAAGAGAACACAAAACTTGACAAGAAGAAAGTAAACAATGCGATTAAAAATGGACAAAACTTCTGAACAGCCACTTCACCAAAGAAGCTATATGGATTTAGGAACAAGCATATGAAAAGAAGCTCAACATATGTTATCAGGTAATCACAAATTAAAACAACAATACAATGCTACCACAAACTTACTCAAGTGGCTAACATCCAAAACACTGACACCACCAAATGCTGATTAAAATGTAGATCTAAAGGAACTCTCATTCATTGCTTGTCAAATACGCACTGATACAACCACTCTGGAAGATGATGTAACGGCTTCTTATAAAGCTAAAGAAATGCTTATATATGATTTAGCAATCATACACCTAGATATAGCCCAAGTGAGTTAAAAATTATATCCATACAAAACCTGGACACAAATGTTTACAGTATATTTATTTCTAATTTCCAGAAATTGCAAGCAACCAAGATGTTCTTCAATAGATTAATGAATAAATAGTGGTGCATCCATACAATGAAATATTATTAAGCAATTTTAAAAAATGAGCTATCCAGCCATGAAAAAACATGGAAGAATAGCCTTACATGGCACAGTAGAGCAGATGTACTTAACAGATATTTTTAGAACATTTCACCCAAAAGTAATAAAATATACATTCCTTTGAAGCACACATAAAATATTTTACAGAATAGATCACATGTTCAGCCACAAAACAAGTCTTAATAAATTAAAAAAAACCTGCAATCATATCAAGCATCTTCTCTGGCAAAATAGTATAAAATTAGATAGCAATAGCAAGAAGAAAAAACAAAATGACAACAAAAATGCCCCAAAACTAACAAAAAGAAAACTGGAAAACACAAGGAGGTTAAATTATATGCTACTAAACAATAAAGGGGTTAACAATAAGATTAGGAAGAAAATCAAGATTCCTTGAGACAAATAAAAATGAAAACATGATGCCTCAAAATTCTATGGGACAAGGCCTGAGCGTTCTTAGAGGAAAATTCACAGCAATAAAGGCCTACCTCAAGAAACAAGAAAAATTTCAAATAAACAACCTAACTTTACACCTAAAGGAACTCCAAAACGAAAAACAAATCCCAAAGTCAGTAAAAGGAAGGAAAACATAAAGATTAGAGTGGAAAAACAGCGGAGAATCTAAAAAATAATAGGAAGAAAATCAATGCAACTAAGTGCTGGTTCTTTGAAAAGCTAACCAAAAACTGAAATTGGGAAATAATTGTTTTGAAAATTTAAAAAGGAAAAAAAGAAAGCACATGGAAGAAGCTTAAACACATATTGCAAAGTAAAAGAGGCCAGTCTGAAAAGACACTTGTATTAATTCTAACGATGTGACATTCTGGAAAAAGCAAAAATATGCAGGCAGTATAATATTTGTCAGGGCTTCAGGGAGAGGAAGGGATGAGTAGGTGAAGCTTAAGGCATCTTTAAAGTGGTAAATGATTCTGTATGACTCTTTACCAGTGGATATGTAACATGCATGCAGGTGGTAAATTGAGGATTTCAGGGCTGATACAGGAAAAAGACAACCACAGGGTGGCAGTGTCACACAATGAACGCTCATTTGAGCAACGCTTGACAGGGCAGCGTAGGTGCCAGTCTTCCCAGCATGAGACCCTCTAGAGGCCCAGGGAACACCACCCAGAAGGGAGGAGGACAAGGGAACTCCCAGGGGAGAAGTGGGTTGGAGAGGGGCTTCTGCGTCTAGGTAATGTCGCTCACAGCACCGTGGGGAGCGGAGAGCTCTGAACAAAAGCAGTGGCTTGGGGTCTTTATATTGGGTTGGCCAAAAAGTTCCTTTAGTTTTTTTCCATAAGTTGGCTGTAGTGAAACTTAGTTGTCTTTAACTTCATTTGAAGCAATTTTGGTAAGTTGTGTTATGACAGGTTGTCATATCAGTGAGTATTAAAAAAAACTTAACAAAATTAGTGAATTTTTGTGCAGCCACTTTAATATTGAAGATGGAAGAAGATAAGCAACATTTTTGGCTGTATTATGCTTTTTTATTTCCAGAAAGGTAGAAACGCAACTGAAACGCAAAAGAAAAGATTTGTGCAGTGTATGGAGAAGGTGCTGTGACTGATCAAACACGTCAAAAGTGGTTTGTGAAATTTTTTGGTACTATTGACATTTTGGCCAAATAATTCTTTGTTGAGAGGCTGTCTCACGCATTGGAAGATGTTTAGCAGCACCCCTGGCCAAGTAGTGGAGGATAGCCTACATACTCAAAATATCCAAATCAGAAGCGTTATTGGAGAAAATGAAAAACGTGTCTTTTGTTTTACAGAAGAAACTAAATGAACTTTTTGACCAACCCAATAGTTACAGGGCTTTGCTTATCTATGGCTAGCAACTGTTGGATGTAATTTCATAGGGTATACAAAGCAGACAGTCATTAAATTGCTAAAAATATGTTTATGGGAGATATATTTAAACAATTGAATGTGTAAAACTTTGAATTTTGTTCTGGCAGACTTTTGAGCTAATGGGTCTCAGACTGCTTTAAAGGGATAAGCAACATGGGGTCAATATCCAGGGCCATTTGAGTTCACTTAACTAACAATTTGTTAAAAATCAGAGAACTGTAAAACACACAGAGTGAATCCTAAAGGAAACTTGTACTTTATTAATAATACTCTATCAATTTTGGTTCATTAATTATAATAAATGTACCACACTAATGTAAGATAATAAGAGGGGAAATTTGGGAGATGAGGAAGAGAGAATAGGGTTATAGGGGAACTATGTACTTTCTGCACAGTTTTTCTGTAAATCTAGAACTGCTCTAAAAAGTAAAGACTAGTAAAGTTTAAAAAGTCAATGAGGAGAAAAAGGAGGACTTGGGGTGGTGGTGGTGAATATTAAATCCACAAAGCAAAATAAAAAGTCAAAACAAAATAAAATAAAATTCTCCATATCCAAAATATAATTAACAAATCAATAAATTGAGCTATAAACTGGTCAGGTATGAGGGGGAACCCAAAAAACCCCAGAATTTATTTATAAAAAATTGTGTCTTTATTCTCACATGTTTAAACTTCAGTCACCTTCTAGGCACTCTCCATTTGATGCAATACACCTAGTGAAACTTTTTTTCACTGCTCAAAACAGTTTTTGAACCCATCAATTTTGAAGCCTTTTAGTGCTTCTGCCATTTTTTGTTTCACCTCTTCCGCATCAGCAAAATGTTTCCCGTTGAGTACTTTTTCATCCATGTAAACAAACACACAAAAAAAGTCGCTTGGGCAAGATCGGGTGAGTAGGGAGGGTGGGGAGTGGGGGTCATGCTGTTTTTGGCCAAAAAGTGCTGAACACTCACTCAGCACAGTGGGGGCAGGTGGGCTCACAAATCACCCATCATGAAATGGGCAAATGCGTTGAAAGTCTTCAAAAAAATTCACTGAGGCTGAACACAGCCTCTCATAATGATGTCAGCTGGTACACTGACAAAGATGGGTTTCTGGAGTGCTCACCGAGCAGGGGAAGACTATACTATAAAGGGCACCCCCTCCAGAAAATTATTCTGGCCTTTTGGAGGTGGAACAAATGTAATAGATGAAAGACTAATTCCTAATATTGAAGAATTCTTAAAAACCAACATAAGAAAGATTAACAGTGCAAACATATCAATATATGCAGGCAGTTCTGGAAAAAAGAAATACATTTTTTTGAAAGATACTCAATTTCACTCATTAATAACATGGTAAAATATAATCACTATAAGATTCATTTCTCATCTGTAACTTTGGAAAAAACAAAGAGCTCTAATACCTGTAATTCCTGTAATACCTGAAATAGTGATACCGCCTGACAAACTCACATATGCTGGTGGTGGAAACGTATATTAGTAACTATTTCAGAACATTTTCAGCATAATAAAATATCACATAACCTTGACCAGCCATTCTACTCGTAGGGATATTTCCTACATATGTGCTCACAGGTTTGCTCAAAACACATGTGCAAGATATTTGTGGCAACATTACTTTTATCAAACAAAGACAGGATACCAAAAAAAAAAAAAAATATATATATATATAAGCATCAATAAGGCTTCTGCCATTTAACCAGTTATTTTTGCTAGAAAATTGTATCTTCCATGCCATTTGTTCTTTCTGGCTTTTCTTTCATTTGTCTCTAAATAAGTTATAATTATTCCTCTTTTGCACAGATCCCTTTACACATGCAAATTTTATCACCTGTCCAGCTCCCACCAGCCCATTCTTTCCTTCCTCATCAGATGCCCTACTGTTCTGATAACTCACATGGATTCCGATATAGATCCATATCTTGGACCACTTCCTCATTGTATAAGTGCCACATAAACCATGTCTCCTCAATATGAATATTGGGTTCTCAAGGACAAGCATTAGTTCTTCATTTGCTGCTTCTCTCAGGAATTTAACACAAATTCAGGTATGTGGTAAAGGAGACTTACTGATTAGGAATAATTTTTCCCAACTATAAGGTGGATCCTACACTATACATCCTCATTACATAAGTAGGTATGAAACCTGCGGAACAATAGTCGAAAGAGCTTGACCTTTTTGTTTGCTCCTTGCACTTTCTGTACATTTGATATTACCTTGTTTCATACAGAGAGGAGAGACAGTCATACCTGAACTTGGTGTTACCCTCTGAAGGAGGAGAAGGATAACGAAGTGTTTGGGGAGAGAGAGTCCTGTAGATTCCATTACACCTGTGATAACAAGTGAGGAGGATTCAGAACCAGGGATAACAGGAGCAAAAAGTTCCAGAAATCACATATTTCCACATCTTTTTTCTGCAATAATGAACTCTCAATCAGTGTTGCCAAAAAGTGTTCTAAGAGTCCCAGTTAAATTTGAATATCAAATAGTTATTCATATAAAAACGTCCAAACCTGTAGAAAAAGTTTATGAGTTTATTTGAGCCAAACTGATAACATATACCAGGGAGCAAGAGTATAAATGTTCTCGAGAATAATAATTTTGCATCTTCTTATGTGCATTTGAAATTAAGGAGGAGATTTAAGAAGATTACATGAAAGTTGGCAAAAGCAAAGTGGGGATTGGATTATAGGATAGCCAACTAAATCATTGGCTCTCTTGATGTTTGTAGCATATTTTAAAGGTGTGTTAACCTAAATGCACAGAAACAATGAACAAAGGGGAAAAGATAAACCTTTCACTAAAATGTTATGTCTGGGGTGTGACTATCCACCATGACCTACCCAGTTAAGAATTTATGATCAGATTAGCTTGGAAGGTTTCCATAGAACCTCCCTTTTATCTGTATGCACAGTGAATAATTTTCTGGTATACATATTTCCCATGTAATATTTTTCATCCTATAACTTTTATTTGCTAGATCTGGCAACCTTACTCTTAAAAATGTCCACTATCATGACCAGATAGAGCATTGCTTCCTCCAGGCTAGATGTTGATTGTCTTCCAATCTATAAACTCCATCAGGTGAGGTGCTGCCCCAGAGAAAGTGGCAGAAGGTCTAGGAAATAGGTCCCAACCACCCCCCCGACCCCCAAGCCTCAGTAGTTCAAGCATATGCCACAGTTAGTTATATTGGGTTAGATAGAACAGTTTAAAGACAGAGTTATAGTCTTATTTTCCTGGAGGGATGACCCTAGTGACCATTTTAGAAGGAAATTTGACTTTCTTTCTTTAGTGGGCACAATCCCTCTGAATTTTCTGCTTCTGGAGAAATCATAATAACACACCGATGGATTGATCCCTATGGACAGGAAAAACTAGGAAAGAAGGAAATCATCTTTCACAGTTAAAGGTGAAGAAGGCTCTTTGTCAGCTCTATAATGGTTGGCGTTTAGCTCAGCTCACAGATGTGACCATCATCCTTTCCTACCCCTCCTCTGCCCTCCCAAAAAATAAAGAGATTTGGAAAGTGCTAGGGTTATGGTGACGTGACAAACAGGTGAATGGTTACAATAATGTGCAAATGCCATGCTATGCATGCAACAGCTCTTAGGACCCTGGAGAGAGCAATTCAGTGTGGACCCTCAAGGCAGCAAGAAGATCCAAGAAGGCTTGACCAATGAGGTGGTGTCTATGTTTTGAGAAATGAGGTGGCTGTCTCCTAAAGTATAAAGGCAATGAGAACATTCATCAGATTCAGAATAGGGAAGCACTACTGAAAAGGGAAATAGAGGAAAACACATGTGTAGTAAGATTTAAGAGGAAAGCAGAAAGCTGATAGTGAAGCAGTTTATGTGCCCAGAAAGTGAATTTAGACTCTGTTCTCCAGGCCAGGGAACTCCTAAGTCTGAGAGGTAGTATGCATGGTGGTTCAACCCAGGTTCTAGAGTGACGCTGCTTCAGTGTAAATCCTGGCTTTACTATTTAGTTACATGAGTTTAGTTTAATTACTAAAACTCTCCTTGATTCTGTTTTTCTTCATCAGTCAATAGGTGACAATAATTTCTTGCTCATCATATTTATTATTAAAATTAATGGAATTACTGTTCTTAAAGTGGTCAGAATTCTGCTTGATAAGTACTAAAGTAAAAGCACCATAAACTATATGAGGAACATATAATATTTGTTAGCAGTTCTAGTATTACACATGTTTGGTATTTTAGAGTAATGAAAGGGGAGTGTTGGGATCAGCCTCCAGTCCTGGCTCTGCTACTTACCAGGCCTGTCACCTTGGGTTATTGATGTAGCTGCTCTGTGCCTCAGTTTACTATCTGGAAAACACAGACAATAAAAGTGCATATTCCATAGGGTTAAAATAGCTAAATATCCAGATTAAAAAAGTGGACCATAACAAAAGCACAAGAAATGTTATCTCTGGCTACTAAGAAAGACTTTAAATTTGAGGCATAGTATATTCAGATTTACATATTTTAAAAATGATTCTGGAGAATAGAGAGAGGCCAGAGAAGGAAAACCACAGAGCAAGTTGCAACAAATATTTCAGCCCAAGTGGGTGAAGTTGGGTAAGGAATGAAAGATCAGGATATAAGAGACACAACAATTATATAACTGCTAGGACTTAATGAGTTTCTGAATGTAAGGAATGAGAGGGATGTATTTTCATGTTTCCTGGGTTTTCAGAATGTGTGATCATGTGGATAAATTGTGTCATTTGTCTTGGCAGGAAATGGGAAAAAAACCAATTGAGCAAAATTTTAATAGGTCAAATTTTAGCTTTTTATGCAATTGTTTCAATTTACTATATTTACTTTTTTATATACATCATACTCCATTACAGTTTTTAGGTCATGTGTATATGTCTTCACCATTATGTCTTTAAGTGTTTACATATTGGAAGTATATTTTCTCATCCCCAAATATGTCATGGAATTCTGCAGTATGTCTAACGTACGCTAGGTGCTCTGGACATCTCCTGTTCGTTCTTGCTGATCTAATCTGTATTCTGCTCCTCCCTGCTCTGTTTCCCAGAGAGCTGGCTTATGATTTGAACAACTGGTCCCTTCCCTCTGGGTTCTGGGCAGGTTTAGTAAGAATAAATAATAAGCAGGAGATTGCAGGAATGAAAGAGAGTGAGGCTGGAGTATTTGTTGTCTCAGCTTGCTTTTTTTCTGGGTTGCTGTGGTGAGCTGCGTGCCCAACTAAAAGTCATCATTCACACACACACACACACACACACACACACACACACACACACACACACACACACACACACCCACCCTCACTGTGCTGCCCTCTCTGCCCTCAGGTTTTAATTACTCCTTTCTGCCCCTGTTCCTTCTGGCCTAGGTGTGGTCCCAACCCCTCTATTTCAGTTCCAGGGTACTGCATTACTCCTAAGGGTTTCTCTACACCTTGCTCACACATTTGTAAATAATCTCCTCACTTAATGCTCCTCAGACTTGGAAGCTGAGACTATCCCTTGGCCACTTGGGGTCTTCTTATACCACAGAATCAAGATCAGGAAAGTGGGCCACTGGAGGGTTGGAGAGATGAATCCAGGGGCTAGAGAGGTGTCCCAGTCAATAAAAGTTGAAGCCACTCAAATAAAGGTAAGACAACTAAAGGCTCAGATCCATAGAAACAAAGACCTGAGGGCTCCATGCGCTTAAGAACTGCATGTAGCTGAGATACTGATGGAAGGGAGGGTGCACACAGAACGAGCAGGGCAGGAAGGCAGCTGCAACGGTCTTGTTTAGCCTTCTGTGACCACCTGGGTCTATGACAGCAATGTTTTATGTTTATTAACCATGACTTTTGCTCATTTTCCCAAATAATTTACATAAATAATATTGACTCTGATGGTCTGCGTCCCAGGCAGGAAATCTGGTCAAACCAGTATCAGCATATGGTAGCTATAGGTTGGGCTTGTCTTTGGTAAGAATGCAAACTTTTTACTGAGCTGAAGGACAAGACTAGATTGTGGCCGAGGCTCTTGCTAAGAGGCAAATGTGGTGGGCTGTATCGGATAGCTCCTTTTGCCCATCCACATCCATTTTCCACACCTCTCCAAAGGGAATTTGTAAGAAAATTGGAATGAAAACTAATATGGATGTTAGAAATGGGGGTTAACAGGAGTGAATTTTACAATAGGAAGTGTCTTTTGAAATTTGGCACAAATTTTAACCTCACTCAAATGAAAATGATCAGGTACATATTTCATACAGTGTACACATATAATAGTTTTAAAACACATTTGAAAAATGAAGGTTTAGTGTTTATTGGGCACAGAGTTTCAGTTTGGGAAGATAGAGTAGTTCTGAAGGTGGATGGTGGTGAGGGCTGCTCGGCCATATGATTGTCATGACTCTGAATATACACTTAGAAATGGTTAAAATAATAAATTTTGTTATGAATATTGTAACAAAATATAAAATATGTAAATATTCAAACAAAAAGCAAATATGCCAATAAGGAACTATAAAAGGTAATACAAATCACATTTGACCTCACAGGCAAGCAAATCCTATCACAAAAGAACAGATATATACTAATCAGAAAGAACCTATGCACCCCTATGTTCATAGCAGCATTATTTACAAAGCCAAGATCTGGAAACAGCCAAGTGCCCATCAGTAGATGAGGGTATAAAAAAAGATGTGGTACATTTACACAATAGAACACTATGAAGCTGTAAAAAGGAAGGATCTCTTATCCTTTGCGACAGCATGGATGGCCTTGGAAAACATTATGCTAAGTGAAATAAGCTAGTCAGAGAAAGACAAATACCATATGATCTCGCTTATATGTGGCATCTAATGAACAAAATAAACTAATGAAAAAATAGGACCAGAGGCCTGGATACATTGAACAGCCTGCCAGATCTTGGGGCAGGGGGAAGGGGAGGCTGGAAGGGATTAGCCAGAGAACATATATGCCTAGACTCATGGACACAGACAATAATATGGCGAAGGCTGGAGGGGGTGCAAGAGCTGGAGGGGTGGGGAAGGCGGGGATGGGGTGCATCTGTAATAGGACCGACAATAAAAAAATATTTACCACAAGGAAAAAAAATCACCTTGACTAGGTCATCATATTCTTTCATCTGATACGATAACTTTAATTTTTATTCAAGAATAAAAATTAAAATTGAGGAATAAACTTAAAAAAAAGAGATGCTTGCCTTTAAACCAGTATTATCACAGCGATTTTCCTTTTATAGAAACAGTGGTATCTAATTCAACCATTTTCTGTCGATTTTGTTTCTAGTTTAAACAAAATTAAAGTGTTTTTGATATACCCTCCTA